GCTGAAGTAGTTTCAATTAACAATTAACGACACCCGTAATTTGTTTCGAATTCGGGCTGGCCAATCGGAGCGCAGTTGTCACCGTAATGATTTGGCAGAATAGTTTTCAAACAAATTGAATGACATTACGTCTATATTTCTAATTATATATACTCGATGACTAAGCGTTATCCGATTTTCGTATTTTGTGAAGAAGAAATAAGGGTGTAAACGGCGGATACGTCATTAATGATGGGATACAAGGGAAGAGCAATTAAAGATTTTTTGTGCACGAATGTAAACATGTCACGGACCATAATCCTCATAAAGACAGTGTCCCATTTCATTTGAAGAATAACATATTTTAACAATAACGCACCACATATAATTCGATGGGCGATCATAACGCTGAAAATAATACATATCTTAAATCTCGCAGTGTTACATATCACAAGGGAAGTGACATTGAATTGGACGATGTGGATTGTATGGGAATGGAGTGAAGAAAACGACCCAGCACAAATATAGACGAAACGCAATAGTAAATGTAATTCATGACACGATCTGACAAACAAAACATCAATAATAATCCAAAACATAGAAAAAAGAATAAAAAATTAATATAAAAAAGATAAAATTTTATAGTATGTACATGGTCCGTGACCTACTAATGTAGAATCGAATAAGGCTAATGTCGAATCGGTTGGTTGGGTAACAGTTGTTTATTGACGATTATCAATTGGTCAAACAATCATTCGACTGTCGATCGATGATGAATTTAATAGGACATACAGTGGCTTAGGCTCTCCAGTAGATTTTAAAATGCATACCGAAGAGCCTAAACCGAACGTCCAAGCGCCTAATGACAAATCGAGCAGATCGATGAAACATATGTACCATCTATCGATTCGATGGCGTCGATGGACATTAGTGTAATTCGATTCGATATTAGTCTGTCACAGATACGATTGCTTGGTGTGGTAACACCCTTAAAGGTAGTATAGGTTACGCGTTTAACGTAACACAAGCAAATGTCTATGTTTTCGTGAAATTAGCACAATAAAATTAATAATCCCAACGAAACTGACTTTCAACGTTTCTCTTTTATATCCCTAATTTATTATGAGTTTACTAAGTCACATCTTACTTCGATATCCATCAGAAGCTCATCATTAGAATGACTGTATGATATTAGAAATACTTTATACAGCCTGTTGAATAAAAGTTTCCCACTCTATTTAATTCTCAAAAAATGTTTTCATGCAATTTGTTAGATTTTTGAACGGAAAGAAGAAGAAATTCATGAATTAGACATGGGTTCGCTAAATAAAAATATCGACAAGCCAAAAGTAATAAATCATTGCTGCAAATCAAATATGTAGAGAACTAGAGAAATGGCCTTAGAAAAATCTTTTTTGACGTCAACCAATTTTTAAAATATGTTTAATAAATATATGATAACATAATAACTTATTATGAATTAATATTGTAGTATAATGTAAGTTTGAATTTTGCATGCCGATAATAATAATAACACACACACTCAACATAGCCCCGCACTAGGGAAACCCTGTATCGCGGGTGCCATGGACACACGTATAGACAACCACAAATTACACCCAAACTCACGAGAGAAATAAATGTAGACCATACAAATATTTCTACCGACCCGGGAATCGAACTTGGGACCTCTGCATGTCAGTCCGACATGGCAACCGTTCGGCCACGGAGGCAGTTATCTCGTATGATCGGTTAGATATCGTCGCCTTACTTTCTCAAACTCGTATCTTAAAGCACAAAGTCACTGAAATGCAAAAAAGTAATTGTATGTACAAATGTTGCAGGCTTATTTCACATCACATATCCTTCATATTCACACACTGGCTCTTACCTATTCTTAAAGTAATGCATCCAATTTAACCCCCTTGATAAGAAATTTAAAATAAATAGAAAGTTTTGGCATCTCCTGAATAATCACTTTTGATAAGATACGAGTTTCAGAAAGTAAGGCATCGATATGCTGCACTCATTAGCAACTTGTTTATAAACTTCAATTATATCTTATACAAATAAAAATAATTTTAACGATAAACAAAAGGAAAACCATACGTCATGTCGCGAAAGTTCAAACGATCTTTTTTTTAACTTTTAGGTCCATCAAAATATTTGGTAAATATCATAATTTAGTAGTTCGGGTAACAAATACTATATATTTTGTTAACATTTCTTAACGCATCTAGCACAAAACCGGTAGAGCAATAGGCATTAACCGTATCGCAAACGTGTTCTCTCTTCTAACAGATATAACGTTGGGTCAACAAGGAAACATTAACAATTTATAGCATGTAGTTAGCTTTTAACCAATTACGACGTTTATGGTAGCTGTATATTTTGCTTTTGAGTGGCTTCAGAGAACTCTCACCAACAAATGCTTTGCCCTTCTAAATGGTTAAACGTTGGTTATTTATTATTCGTTCACGAAAAACTAACAGCTTCATAAGAATTAATAGAAGCAGGGACAAAAACGTACAGCTAATGACACTGCCCTCCTTGTCATAAACAACGCATTTGCATTTGGTACCTTTCGAAATATTGGCGCAAATTTTTTTAAAAATTTCAATTACCAATGTAGGATTCTGAAGTAACTGTGTCATTGGCATCTTAAAAACGTGGATCTAAAAATATTCAACTATTATTGAGTCAGTATAAGAAATTATTACTCCACGGACAAGAGCCTAATGTTCAAATTTTATATTTAACCGTAAGTTTTTAAAGCTATTGTTGTATATATACAATGTCTAACTTAATGTTTTTTCTACGAATATAAATATAGTTAAGTGGTTTAGATTTAGATTTATTTTATTATCTTGTAAACTTTACATTACTATATACAATATATTGTATTACAAGAATCGTTACAAATAGTAATAAATGTTACATTTCAAAAAATTACATATATCCAGTACAAGTTTTGTACTACGTAATTTTAACATAGTCAATGTAGTTATGTGAAATAATGTAGGAACATATTAAATAATGTAATAATAATTATGTCAATATAATGATTGTATGCATAAAGTTTATGTAATAGTTTAGTTTAGTTAGTTTAGTTTTTCTGTAATTTTGCATTTTATTTTATTATCCTTTTGTTCCAATTTACTTGTTTTACAGCAATCATATACTAATTATAGAGAAGCGGGACACCTGAAACATGTATTTTCATAGTTGAAAGAAAGCTTAACCTTGCATGTAATTTGGTATAACTTTCGGGATATTGGCGCCTAAAGTTTTTTTTCTTTGACTAATGTCAATTTCGCTGACTTTGCTTAATAATAAAACTGAAACTAATTAAGAGGGGGTTGTAGGTCTCGATTCAAGGTGTGTTTACAACTCGATTTGGCTAAAAATGTCTATAACGTTGTTTATGATAAGGTCGGCCAGAACAGATTTTCGCTTATAGTTTGCAGGAAAATCAAACATGAGTACTAAACATAGACAAAGTAAAAGAATAATTTATTATAATTAATTTAAATAAATAAAATTACACTTGTAAACGTCATTTTTTAAGCTACTGCTCGTTTACTGCGCTGACTTCCTTGGGAAGAACGAGCAAGAATAAATACAGAGTCATAAAAAACGAAATGTCTACCCGGGTGTATAGATAATTTTATAGCGGTTTTTTTGCAAGCAGTTTGAAAGTGTACCGTGTACGATAGATGCATTTAATGATAATGGTAGCAAACAGTAACAGTTTGCTGTCAGATGTTCAATTAAATGTAGTTTAATAAGATAATGCAGTCGGTTATAGAAAATTTTATCTAGATCATGTATAATAAAAATTAAGCGATAAAATATATATATTACACTTAGAACAATAAACGTTCAGTCATCCATCACTAATGTAAAAATTGTAAAAACGTGGGGAAAAAAATGTGGGGAGCTAAGGGGGTCAAGGTCAGGGGGTATTTTTTTACTTCTCTCCTGTTCTCTGTCCGATGTAGACACTTTTATGTACAACAAAACATACTACAAATATTAACAAAGAATTTTAAACGTTAGTGTATAAAGGCGAGCTTATCCCATAATGGGATTTTTTTCCAATTAGCCTTTACTTACTGTTTTATCCTAAATTATATATTTTATCGGCCAGGAACTGAGAAACTGAAATACTGAGAAATGCTAAAGTCACGTGTTATGTTCATTTCAGTGAATTCAAAACTTTAAAACGCTCCCGTGTAAACTTGGCAATTTCGACTTACGATACTTTACGTAGGAGAGATCGATTTAATCTATAGGTAAAATAAATTTACATTTGAACACGTTACATTTAAGGTACTGTTCGTTCACTACGCTGACTTCCCTGAGAAGAACGAGCAAGAAACTATAGGGATTGCTCTTTTCAAATAAACTTAAAATGCTATTGAATACACTTTGAATCAAATTTGTGTGGAATCTAGTGTAAACTAGTTTAGCAGTACTAACATGGGTAAGCTCACGTATTCTGCAGATTGCATATGCAGCGGAGCTTAATCTGACTGTAATTGTTTCAGATTGATGTCTGACAGAGAACGGGAGTAGACACCCAGACTCCACTGGGATTAGGTGGGCTATGTTAGCCGAATGCAACCTGAGAAGTGGGCCAATGACGTCACTCCTTGGGGATGGAAGGCGACGGCGGGGACAGCCGAGAAGGGGTTGATGGGACAATCTTGATGGGTTTGAAAAGGAGTGGTGGGAAATCGCTAAAGATAGGGAGCGGTGGAAGATTTTTGGGGAAGACCTATGCCCAGCAGTGGGACACAATAGTTTAATGAAAAAAGTCAATAACTCAATAAACTGGTAACGACGAATGATATCAAACCGTTGTACAATACCATTTATTACAACGGACACCTCTGTGAAACCGACCGTAAACACTATTAAAAATTCCTGAAATACGTCTTCCGCAGTCCGGCCATGACGTCACAATTTCGTCGAATTTCCTAAAAAAACCAATAAGTAAAAATATAAGTAAGACTTACCTGTGTCAATCCAAGTCTGTAGCTGGTCACGTCCAGGTCTAACGCCAACAGCATGTCGTCAACTATTTGACGGTCTGATAGTGGCTGGGTTTGTTGTTGTTGCTGTTGTTCTTGCTCCTCAGGATTTTCGGTCTCTGATGTGGCTAGGAGACGGTATCTGGTAGAAAGAGAACATCATAGTGTTACAAAAAGTTAGCGCGAGTTTTGTGTCGCAGCCACAACAGATTCGTATGAAAGTATTATCACTTTGTTTCTATTTTAAGACGCTTTCTGGACATTAACTGATAAACAATATTACCTATGGATGATGAATATAATTATGGATGATGTTACAATTAAATCAGGTTTTTTTTTATTACATACATAACTTAATATATAATTTGAATGTGTACAGTCAAATATAAAAATGGATATATAATTTTGAAAACTATGGCCAAAAAGAATGATATAGCTATAGATAATAATGTCCCAGAAAATCACCCTAATTGCCTGGTCTCAAACTAGGGAATTTCCTGTATCATGAGCACCAGAACAACACAATTCGGGATACTTCTTTAGAATACCCGAACTAATATAGAAAAATATGTGTCCCCCGAATTGGTCGAATCCCGGACCTGTTTCACTAGCGCCTACCATACTTTCGAGTCATCGAGATCATAGTACGTTGTATCACAAAATTCTATAAGAAGCAATTACGAACTTACAAATGACATACGAGGAAAATTCAAAATCCGGGCCAAAGGTGATTGCCAATTTGGCAAAAATATTCCAATTGCCAATTTTGGCTAAAACATTCGTCAGTCATTTGTTTTTTTTTGGTAGTACAAACAAAGTTTTTTTGGTTGAACATCTACACGGATCATTCCAAGGAGGCCAGGATGTTGTACAACGTGGAGAAGTTAGCAATACCTAAATTACAATTATTTCAGTTTGGCCCTATGAGGATGGCGTCACTGTACATTTAAAGTCCTCTTTAAAAAATAAAAAAAAGTAAAATGATGTAGAGCTAAATTTGTTTTTACTAACCGTCTAGCAAACTCTGAAAGTGGCATGTGTTCAGGGAACCCTTGTTTGTATAGTCTGGCCGCATCCAATAGTTGAAAACCACGGAACTAAAACAAATAAGACGGAATTATTTTTATTACTATTAAAACTATTATCTATCTCTGAATTTATTACAATAGTAACAATAGAGGAATAACATTCAATTCATTAATTCACTCATTCACTCATTCATCAATCGTTCGATAAAATTTCATGCATTTAATAATTTTTCAATTAAAAAAAAGAATTACCTGTGACCGTAGAAGCGGCACGTTGACGTCATCAAGAGGCTCTGAAGGGTGAATGGTCAGCATACAGCACACGAACTGCACGCCGCCCGCGCCGCAACGACGGAGCGTGTCCACTATACCATCAGCAACGAATTTTGCTTGGAGCGCTGTCGAGCGACGCTTCATGCCGGCTGTACCTGTGTTTTACAATATACATAATTTTTTTTTAACGCACACACTCACCGATGTGTATGCTAATTCAATTGTGGAATAACATCTATTTGCCCAGTTTGAATAAAATCGGTGAACGGGAACAGTTGTTATATTTTTAATATAAAAATAGTTTCTTACCAGAAGTAAGTGTGCGACGAATAGAAGAAGCACGCCTCAAAGTGGAGGCGTCGCCCACGGCTGCAGACCACGCGCCGACGCCGCACGCACCTCGCGCCCATGACGACAGACGGCTCACTTCCTCACTGCAAGCATTAACCATTTTAACACAACGTTCTATAACACTTGTTATATATTCAGATTTTTCTACACCTATTATAACGTCAGGTAAATTATTGCATTCGCAACAGAAATATGCGCCGACGGTTTTCTAAAAGTAGATTATCTGGGAATCGAACAGACCAAATATGATTTTTATTACGGCGATCGAAATAACTGACTCATTAAGAATGAACTCCTTTTATGTAACATAGTAGAACATTGAATATCGACAGTAAAACATTATAATGAAACATCCTAAACTGAAAAATTTCATGGTTCCTGTAATTGTAGTTTCCCAAAGTGATCCCTACTGCCAGTAGGCGTTGAAGAGTCTTGGGGAGGTAGGGGCCTCGGAAGCAATTGGGAGCGTTGATTCTGCCAGGAGGAACACCTCGTGCGGTAACAACCGCGTTTGAAAAAATAACCTGTATTATCTACATATTCCTTGTGATTTCTTGTGTTAAGTTGACATAAAAAATATATGTTTTCATTTTTTGTTCAAATATTATTTATCTTGCCTAAGTAAGCCAAAAAGTTTGGGAACCTATGCTTTAATTTAAGGGTACGTATAAATCTGGCGAATGTGCCGCAAATGCGCCTGTTTGCAAAATGCTTTGTACGTGCATTACGTAGTGCGATCTGTTCGCGTGCCGTTCGCGCCACATATAGTAACATTTAGTTAACTGCAGGCATGCAGCACGCATGCAGCACACATGCAGCACGTATGCAGCACGCATGCAGCACGCATGCAGCACGCGTGTAGCGCGCGAATTAAGTGACTGAGACGAGCTTTATTATAAAAAAAATACTTTATTTCTTATACCAACCTAACTACTCGGAATTCGAAATTACAATCAACCTTTCTAACTTAAAATTATGTAACATATAGAAAGTTACAGAACGTTGTCAGCTATGTGTTGCCAATGGCAGGGTTGACGAAACTGGTAAATGAGCATTTCTTAAACTTGACACGCGCGCAGCGCACATGAAGCGCGTTCGCGACGCATTTCCCAGACCTGCACTCATCCTAAGATACTATTTCTTCGAACTTCAATTATAACAATATTTTTATATTCTAGATCCCTTAAAAGGTTCCCAACACGGAAGGTAGTCTGTTGTTCCCACGTTTCACAAATTCAAATTTTAAACAAACAGAAGGAAATTATGTTTACCGTTTCAAAATTGCGTAATAGTTTTAGATCAATCAAAAAATTAATACTGAAAATGCGAGGTGGCTCTAAATATATATATAATTATGACTTACTTTTGGCTTTCTTGCAGAAGTGTCAACGCTTTCTTTGTGACCGGGTTCTCACGACTCGCCTTCACCCAACCAGTTACATCGTACAGGACAGGATTGGTACCCTAGTTTAACAAAAAAATTGTTTTGTTGTTAAATTTGACCTCCATTATATACATATTATAATAATGTAATATAATTTAACGTAGGTACCGTAATTGTTCTCCTTCTTTCTACCAACTTAATTCATAACATTGTTACTAACAAACATGGATTAGCTGATCTAAGAATAAATGAATTTGAATTGTTATTTTATTTAAAAAATTTACCTGCAAATGCTGTAAAGCGAACTGTCTAACATGAGGCGCTTTCTTGATCAAATACTGCGTGTGATTGGGAGCGGCGTAATGGGTCATCACACGTTCTATGAACGTGTCGTCAGAAGAGCCGGGATACATAGACTCCTCGTCTAAAAGCCTGCAAATAGACGCGGGGTTTAAAATTTGGTGCTGTAATCAAGAATTCATCTTTAGGAATAGAATAAGTTATACAACCAATGCAGTTTGGCACATATACTGCCCTCGGTCATTATCATAACTAAGATAAATCGATATTTTTAGCGAAATTGAGTTATTAATCTGGACTTAGCGAAACGTGATCTACCACCCCTACAAGCGATTTTTTTAAATATCTTGAATGAATGAATGAAATATTCTTTATTGCACATAAAATTACAGTTAAAATACAATAAAGTAACTTAGGCATCAATATGGTAAGATAATGTGCAACAGGCAGCCTTATTGCTATGTAGCCATTTCTTCCAGGCAACCTTAGGATAGAAATTTTGGATATGCAAAAGGGATGCAACCAAAGAATATCATTAAAGGGACACTACGTAAAAATTATTAATAAACTCATATACGTAGATAGAAATATCCATACAAATATTATTAATACATAACAATACATAAATAATAATAATAAATGCTTATATACTTTAAAAGGAAATAGAAAAATGAAATAATAAGTATAGGAAATAAATGAAAGGATAGTGGAGAAAAAGACAAAACTTAGAAGTTGAGGAAGTGATCCTTGACATGTCGTTTGAAGGAATCAAGACAAGGGGAACCTTGAATCGATTCAGGTAGAGAATTCCACAGTCTGATCGCAGACTGTGGAATATCTTATTTAATTTCAGTTTTATTGTTAAGCAGAATCAGCGTAATTCAAATTTTTCAAAAGGAAAAATTCGTCCATGTTGCTGCCCAGCATAGACGAACTAAAAACAATAGCTAATATTAGCAATTATATTATTTAACATATTTGCTTCTAAGCGAAGTTTGTTCATAATTAAGGCTATCAGCTCGCGCTTCGTCCTTCATCCTCCTTTCGTTCCTTCGTCCGTTCCGTGTAGCCATGTTCTACCGTTACTACGAGTACCAATCTCACTCTAATCTCGAAGAGCGAAGCGCAAGTATAAGTCTAAATTTACATGACTTTTCATTCCATTCATCACGAATATAACGTAACATCAAATTTTGATTCAAAAATAATTACTTCATTACGTACAATTCTATACAGAATTTCGTGTTCTATGTAGCGAATTACTTTATAAACTTTTTGTACGGCCTCTGGCCCGATAGAGTGACGATCCGCGAAAGGCTGCTGGTACCAAGTGGATGGAAAAGCTAGAGGCCTATGCACAGTAGAGGATTGCACTAGGCTAATGATGATAATGATTAGTGTTGTGGTGAACTAGTATGAAAATAAATAATAAATTTTTGATCAACATAGTCAGTCATTTCCATTGGTGTTACAAGGAACGGTTTAGGTGGGAAAAATTTTACGCTTTATATATACAAACTGCAGGTCAAAAACATTAAAAACAGAGTTTTTTTAAACCCGTATGTGCAAGGACTACAACGATTGCCATTGGTTTGTACTTTACACTTATATCAGTTTTTATACGTTTTAAGAAAATTAAATATACCACAGGAGACCACGTCGATCACAGTCGCGCAGATCAGCCTGTGAACTTCGAACAATAGTGTTCTGTGGCGCTTTGTCCAGTAGTTCCACCATTGGACCCGGATTCACGGTCTCCGACAGCCAATCTACGAAAATAAAGATTAAGAAATCAGTAATTAAAAAACTTAAGAACTTAAAAATGGGCCTTATTTTTCATAAGTTTTTTTTATAACATCTAGTGATGGGACGAACAAGTCGTGCGCCTGATGGTAAGCTGCACGCCTGTCCATAACAGTTACAGTGCCACTCAGAGTTTTAAATTGCAAAGATCTGAGGGGCACTACCACTGCGCCCATCACCCCGAGACATAAGTTGACAAGTCCCATGTGCCTGTAATTTCACCAGCACGGTAATCTCACAGGATAGTTCGACTAGAATAAGCAAGATGGACAAAAGTCATTATCGAATTTCCCGGAAATTGTTTACTCACGAACCTGGAATTCCAAGAATTTAATTACACTGGGTATTACGGTAATTAAGGGAAGTAGGTAAGTATATAAGAAAAGGGGTAAGTGCACTTATTATCATTAGCAATTTTGCATTTGACGCGAATACATATGACAGTGATTTTAATAGTGGTTTTAGTTTGTTTTAGTGATGGAATTTGAAGGTAAAGGTATGTACTATCTTAATTTATAAAACAACGTAAGAAGTTACGGCCCGTTATTTTTTTACGTAATCCCACATTTAAATTTATATAAATTTTTTCCCGCTTTTTTATGGATTTTGGATTCGGAAAGTGTTGCCAACGTTTATTACAGACCTAAAACTAACATAATATATGGTAGCTTGAACTCTCTTTTTTTCAATAGTAATAAATCTAGGCTGTGGACTGCTGTGGAACATATACTTTTTTTTTCTAGAGCACCTCTTCGCAATCTCAAGATTAGAACTTTTTGAGGAGTGGCTAAACATGTCAAAGAAAACCGGAATAGCGGATTGTTTCCTTTCTTATCTTCAAAATATGATTTCTCCGGCATCACTGAAGATGCTTCAAAGGCGCTAAAGAAGACAATCAGCGTATTTAATTCAAATTTAGGAAAAAATGGTACACGCACAAAAAGAGCCGAGATGACTTTTTGAAAAAAAAAAAATGAAGAGTGGACGTCAAAAGACTTCGTCTTTAAAGTGTCCCTTTGCCACGGAAAGCCATCTTCATCCACTGTATCTTCAAATCCTGGCCGTGCAAGCAAAGAGTTTGAAGAATCCAGTAATAAAACGAAAAGGAGAAGAATTTAGGATTTGCTCAGTACCTGGGACACTAATCAGTTAGTGGCTGAGAATTTTCAGCACGTCTGGGCACCGGAACTTGGCTGCTGTCATTAGGGACGCTTAGGGAAGTCCCAAAAAGTGCAAAGCCATAAGAGCTACTGTCAGGGATAGTGAAAACAACAGTCAAAGGTGCTTAACGAAGGAAAAGGCTTTGGCATATTATGTGGACTCAAAGTCAACAAGCCACGCCTACAAGCAAACGCGGAAGTGGAGTATGAAAGCAGGTCATATGGTATTTCCATCAATGTATAGTCTTTGGCAAACCAAGATGGAATGTTTTCTTCCTGAAGAAGATTTATTTGTGAGTGAAGTTCGTGTAGATTAAACTTCAAGCTGTTTTAAATAAAACAGTTTGCGTTTAATGAATGCGCACTATGAAGTTTTTAAATCTTCTTCTTTAGAGGCACCATTCACACTTATAAGCAAGTGGGGTTGTGATGGCAGTTCCGGGGGCCAATCGCGCTATTTTCGCAAGGTTTAACCTTACAACATTTGAGGTTATGGTTTTATTTAATTAATGGTTCTACAGACGCACAAAATGCAATCGCGCTATCAGTTTTAATGAACCTAAACCTCAGTTAAACCTCAAACTATAACCTCGTATTAAATTTTAAGAGACGTGCCTTGACTTCCTAAAACCGACTAAATTTTACCGTAAAACGCACTGAAATGTCAATATCTACGAATTCAAGTCTATAAAAGAGCGATTTAAAAAAGTGTGTAAAAGAAATGTCATTAAATTCTATTGTAAACAAACATATGTGTTGTGATTTGAACCAAATTAATTGAATTTAGTGTGTTGTTGTTGTAGATAAAACACGCAGAGGCAAGTACCTACACATTGTTTTCCTTTTTTAATATTCTATTTAATAAAATAGTATCTTTTTATACAATCAAATAGGTACGCTAACTACTATTAATTTCGAAATGTTAGCAATGTAGAATTAATAATGATGCTCGTATTTCAGCCAATGTGGATGCGGTCGGACGGCGACCGACCACTGTAAGCCAGCTCCATCTTTGCTGGAGTTCGAATCGCACAGAGATGTGGCTTGAGAATGACTTCGCTCGGCGTTGTTCGCGCGTGTTATCAGCACGCCTTTGGTGCGAGTGTGTGGCTATTTTGTGGCCCCGCAATAGATCCCAAAAGGTGAGCTATAATGCTAGGTAATAGGATACAGTGAGTGGATCACTCACCGTTATTGTACCAGAACTCATATCACTATAATATGCAATGTTATTATTGTTATTCAGGTATGGAATGGTATGAAAAGCAGGGTGAGAATCTACGCCACATCGACTGCGGCAGAGGCCCTACCAACCTTCCTAAAGGACACCAACTCTAGCACAAAGTAACTAAATAACTTCAAACATACAATTAAATAACAAACTTTCTCACTCTTTATTATTAATTAAAAAACAAAGTAACTTTCAATTTGAGCAAATTCTTTCTCACTCTATTACATCACATCTATTATTTCGTTGACAGCGAGCTGATGAGCGTTGGAGCAGAGCCGGGTAGAATTCTTATGCATTGAGGAGCTGCGAGCATGCGAAGCATTCTTGCAGCAAGTGAATGCTGGCAGGGTGCAGGCTGAGGCAACTATTATTTCTGCCAAAGCAGATGATCTGCATGCCCAATCCGTAGCTGCCATTTGCAAAGCAATTACCGAGTTGGTGCCTGCAGTTAAACCTTTTTGATAGAATATTTAACAAAAATGACAGGTTTGTTTTCAACATGTTTTCTTAATTCCTGCTGATGATATGTTCAATTGTGGAAATCTGAAAGAGCGTAAGGAACGAAGGTCTAATCTGTAGACTTTTGTCCCCTTTATATTTCCACAGTGATATAAACATTTTTTTAAATGTATTTTGAAAAGGCCCCTAAACATTCTGGCGTTTATGTTGGCTTCATACTGTATGTATATAAATACCCATCCTGCTTTATCTGTCACTACTCTCATGAGAGGTATGGCACAGTCTTAAATTTAGGTCTCCAATCTTACTATATACATATTTTTGTTTCAGACTTCTTTGAAGAATCAAAAGCAAGCTCGCTCTGGAAATGAAGGATGATTTGGGGTAGATTGAGGCAATAAATAAACTAAAAATACACTCTTTTTTTTATTTCAACCTCTTAAAAGTATACATCAATTTAGATATTAAGATAATAAACAATTACAATAGGTATACATCGTCATCTTAGAATGAATACCTCATATTTCTATGTAATTTTTTAGGATGAAGATAAAAATATGGTGTGAAGTATAGTAAATGCAATAATGTATGTAGTTAGCATTTTAATTACTTAAATTATACCTCTTTTAGATACTATATTATTACATTATTAATTTTTATTCAACAAAAATCAGTAAAAACTAACTGAAAATGCATATGTGAGGCTTCACTGTAAGGGGACGATATGTTGTATAAAGTCAAGTGTTAAAAGAGATAAATTGTAACCTTGTAATATATTTTTATACAACTATACATATTTTACCTATATCTCTCATTTTTATTTGATAATAATAACAGGAAATATTAAGACAAGAACTAATAAATATGATGTACATTGTAAAGCTTATTTTCTCACCGCCTTTTAATACCATCTCTTTCGGCATGCCTTTTAGGAAAGCTGCATATTTATTCATAATAACTGGTTTATTTGAAGCAGCTACCGCTTGTGCCTTTCTGACACTGGCTTGGGAAAGGGTGATAAGCACTTGCCAATGGGGGTCAGCCCAGTTGTTAAAGACTATACGAGCTATTAAAATCTGTAACAAAATTAATAATGATTTACACAGTATAGAAATTTTGGTTATTATGCAAAACTGAGAATTTTCGGATTCCACTTAACCCTTACCTTTGTCTCCACATCCAATGCAACAGACCGTCCTTTAACGAGAATATGTAGGCATAGTTCTTCCACCAATCCTGAAATGAATTCCGTGGACAAACGGTATATCGTTTGCGGAATTTCTCCTCAGACATGTTAAATGTGATCGTCTTTCTATGCTTTTCTTTTATTTAAAGCCCGTTCTTAGGCCACATCCACCTCATAAACACTTTCCGAAACATTTAAGTAACCGTGGAACATCTTTAATATACGATAAATGTAGTGAAAAGTTACTCTCCATTAACTGTCACACAAACGTTAATCTTTCAAAGGTTAATCTATGCCCCCAAGGTTACATGTGAGGTTAATACGTCAAAATATTTAGCGCGATACCAATTGGCAACGTTTAAGGTTTAGGTTTTATCTTTGACAATTAGCGCGATACCAAATGTGCGTTACGTGTCACACGTCTAAGTTTAGGCTTAGGTTTTTGTTTTGACAGTTAGCGCGATACGAAATGTACACAACGTGTCAGATTGGCGAGGTTGGAGGTTTTGGTTAAACCTTTGACAATTAGCGCGATTGGCCCCCCGGTCACAGCACCTACAAACAAAAATTCACCAGTAATGAAGCCACTGATGAATATTTATTTGTGTTTTCCTTTGTGCCGCTTCAATAGCACGACGAAAATGGTAACATTGCTTGGCTCCTCCTACTCCTCGTCCATCTTCATCAATGTATTGTCGATCTATTAAGCTTATTTTCTCCAAGGAAACTACCGACTTTACCGTTGCAGAAACAAATAAAGTCATGGAGAAAATAAACCAGTTGCTGCCGACAATATGTAACGTTGATGGCAAAGAGATATCTGTCAAGCACAAACTACTTTTCACAATGATTGACGGTAAAGTGTGCAATGCTTTGACTGAAATTTCTTCATCACAAATGTGCTATATTTGTGGAGCTACCCCAAAAGTTATGAATGATGAATCTAGAGAGTATGTAGTTAATAGGGGCAACCTTGGTTTTGGTTTATCTACACTGCATGCATGGATTCGTTGTTTTGAATGTTTGCTACATATAAGCTACCGTCTCGATATTAAAAAATGGCAGCTACGAGATCAAGCTGATAAAGAAAATGTGAAACAGCGTTCCGTCTACATTCAAAACCGATTCAAAACTGAAATGGGCTTAATTGTAGATAAACCGAAACCAGTGTTTGGGAATACAAATGATGGAAATACCGTCCGTAGACTTTATGCGAACCCTGAGCTTAGCGCAGATATTACAGGTATAGATGTGACTCTTATAAAAAATTTCGCCACCATAGTTAGAACTTTAGCTTTTTTTTTTCTTTTTTTTTTATACTTGACAGGCAAATGACTCCACTCCACCTGATGTTAAGTGGAAAGTGGTATCCAAACGCGAAGGAACCTAGTGCAGCAATGAAATCCTTGAAGATGAAGCTTGCGGTTACGATATTAACATCGAGAAATTTAAATCTTTAGCACAAACCACTAGACATTTGTATATAAATCATTATCCGTGGTATCACATGCCTGCTACACAAAATTTTTGTACACAGTACAGATGTTATTCAGTCAGCTCTGCTACCAATTAGGCAGCTTTCTAAGGAAGCTCAGGTAGCTCGCAATAAAGATTGCAAAAGATTCCGAGAGCATAATACTCGTAAACGGTCACGTATTGCCGCGAATAAAATTTAATTAATATGTTGTTGATCACATCTGACCCTGTAATATACGGCCTAAGAGAGGTTCCCAAAAAACACAGGTAGCCTCCCTTGCGAAGTATTAGATTTAATAATACCCCCATCTGTAAATCGAAGTCAAAGTACTAACAGTCCTAATGTTATGCATGCATGACTACGAGTATACTGAAATTGATTCTTCGGAAGAAGAAATTAGCGATACCGAGAATTAGAGATTAGTTAATAGTATTAGTTAATTATGGAGTATTAGGGAATTGTAAAGTATAAGGTAATTATAGATTATAAGTTAAGTATTAGTTAGTAGTTAATTTGTACCTGCTACACATATTTTCTCACTACCTGACTATACTCGTTGTTGTTGTTTGTTTTTTTTATTTTTAAAATAAATATTAAAATATTATTATTAATATTTTATATATTAATATTATTATTTAAATGAGAAAAGGGTTTTTTATCTAACCATAATACCACTACTCACTCTCCCCCTCCCCTCAAAATGGGTCCCCTGGCCCTAAATTTAATTAGGTAGTCATGATAGGTAATAAACAAACAAACAGAGATCAAAAACCATGTAAGCAAAAAGGGCAGTTAAAAGTTGTGAAACCCGGTAACGATAAAAATGTTATCACAAAATCAGTTTTTACGGGCTTATGTTATCAAATAGGGAGTCACAAAAGTATTTCGGTAATATTTTGTATGCATACATTTTCTTGCATTTTTTACACTTTTTCACATTTATACACTTTCTTTATTGCACCATATAAATAAAAAATAAATATTAATTGTACAGAGGGTAAGCAAAGGTGGATTTATCTTCAAAATAGATCTCTTCCAGTCCTCCAATTTTACACGATACTTAAAGTCTTTTTGATATTGGCATCAGCTTTGTTTACATTTATGATCTTAAATTTCATTTAAGTTTCATTTACGCAAAATTAAAACGATGATATACTTTATACTAAAAACAGTGCTTATAGGTAGAGCTCGACGAGTAAGAATATTTCGTGTATAAAAAAATACAAACCGTAATTATATTGAACAAATGAGGCATTTTAAGTAAGCACGCTCCATCTTTGACCTGACTTTGTTTACATAACACTAGCATGTGGCTATGTGCGAACACATTCTTAGTTTAATAAAAAATTGAGGTCGCAATTTTTCCTATTGACAAGCTATGTCATAGTAAATACGTGAAATTTACCTTCTTCAGCACCATCATCGAGCGCAATTCCTTCTTGAGCGTATCGCTCCCTGGGAGATACTAACATTGCATCGTGGAAGACTGCTTGGAGACGTTCCTGGTAAAATATTTACAGTATTACTGACAAAAATATTTTAGTCTAGTAGTATAGTCCGCCTTTTTTTATTCAAAGGAAACAAATAGTCAGAAATTCTTAATAATATAAACTAAATATTTAAACTAACCTAGTAGAAAAAGAACACTCTATTTCTGCCGTCCACTAACTAAAAGGCGGCTAAGTGACAAATGGTCAAATATCTGTTTAACTAGAAAAAGATAGAAGATTTAAGAACAGATAAATTTACTTAACGTATTCGACTCATCGGAACTTACCCTAATGATGTATAGCTCAAATATCATTAAATAAGTTTAATATTCTAAAAGTTGTTTATGGTTTTTTTATGATACCTCATAAAAGTATTTAATTCGGCAGATTTAATTGATTAACCAGTTTCATTCTAACAATCACATCCACATAAAAACAATAAAATTGTCCTACATCACACTACACACTCTATTAACCCGACCGAGCGAGTTACGCACACAGAAACATATATATACAAGCGCAGCCACACTAACGCCGACGAATACAGCAATGTACGGGAAAACGATATAATTTATGTTACATTGCATTAAAACGTGTTTTGTATGATTTTTTATGTGTAAATAAATAAAAAAAAGTTGCGTAGGCTATGAAGCGCGTAAGGCAGAGACGGAGACAAATTACACGATATTGAAATATATGCCTTTTAGAAATAAAATATACCCTCTTATTGTAAAATAAACTCAAAGTCCCTTGACGTATTTATTACCAAAACCAGAGACCAAATTTAATAATAATGAATTTTTGTGGGTTTATGTGCATCTTTTTTAAATATAATGTTTTTTTAACATTATCTTTGAAAGATCTCGATATTTATAACAATAAGAGTCAAGGTAAATGTTATTACGACACATTTACCTGTAGGTAGTTAGACAACAACTTCGATAAGGATGCCCCGCTCTGTTGTCCTGCACACATTGGATTGTCTGCTCCAGGTGTATCCAGAAGAAGGATAGACGCGGACGTTCTAGCTGATGTAGACAGACTTCTGCAAAATTGTAAAAGGCATACAATGGTTAATGTCTTATCATATACAATTTATGGTAGAAAACATCTAGTTACCAAACATCAAACATCAAAAAATATTAAATCATATCTTGGTTAGAAACTTATAACTAGTGATAATTGTTTAAAAATATACTCTCAAGTCTACTATAGATTATGGCCTACGTACCTAATCAACCCAACCTAACCAATAAGGTAGCCAGTACGTAGATGGTCCCCATATGTTACCCGATTAGCCGAAGCCGGCAAATTTTTTATGCATTTTATAATTATTTTTTTAAGAAAACTAGACATAAGTTTGGGCACAATCCCATCTGATGATAAGCGAGGATTTGAACGACAATTGAGTCGAATTCGTCTAAAACTGAAAACTCACTCGAGGCTTGAATTATCTGAATTTGTAGTTTACGGGAACCGTAGACGTATTAAAAAGGAAGTGGCAAAGCGCTTTTGGATTAGACAAAAACGGATAAATCCCATAAATGTCAACTCTAAATTTGTTTATTCTAATTGAGCTGATTGGACGCATTGTGTTCAGCAAGTGCATTTGAAACGTATTTTGAAGGAAGATTTAGCGGTTGCTGTTCAGGTTAAGATACTCAAGATTAGGTTTATGCACATTATTTTGTTTCGTTAATTGTAGATTTAAAAGTGAAATTAATAAATGCATTAAATCAATAAATTAGTTAATCAATTTAAAACGTGCATTGCGTTTGTATCGCGTTCGCATCACGTTTGCATCGCGTTTCCATTGCGGCTGCATCGTATTTGTATCGCTCCTTAAAGTCGCGCGCATATGTAAAGGTAGACATTACGTTAGGTAGATGTTAGGTTAGGATAAATTATTCATAGAAATGTATAAAAACTACCGTTTGGCATTAAAGAAAAAGAAACAAGTCAAAATGTGACCTATTGTTTTTGTTCCGACGCTCCTCAATTGTAAAATTCCTGTGCGCACTTCCCGAAATGTTTCGATAGAACCCCGACAAGACTCGACTTTTGTGCGCTGGTCGAAATGTCGTAGATTCGATACAGGAGCAATATAAGCGTTACGGACGGCTGAGACGCGTCTGGCCGGTCGGAGCGAATGCGACTGAATAATGCAAGGGCTCTGATTGGTCGAGGGCATCCGCGGCGCATTAATAGGGCGGCACGGTGTGGAAGACACCGTATCGACATATATATATATATAAGATTCTAATAAGAATTGTTTTAATTTGTACATTCATAATTTTTACTTATAAGAATACGCACTAAGTCAGATGGGCATAGATCACGATTGTTAGGATAGAGATAAAGTGTTCAAATAAGCTGTATGCAGTCCACTTTCCAAAGTTCCAATAAACAGGAAGAACTTACCTTTATACGGAGTTTTATTGAAGAATAGAAGGAGATCTTACAGGTGTAATAATTACTAATAAGTAATAAATAACTTACCGATTGACAAGTGCAGCGATAATGTTGAACGTCTCGTTGTAGAGGCCGTTCACGAAAGCGTCCAGAGCTTCCGCACCTGTGATTTCTCTCTCGTTGGATGGCGACGGGGTCCTTAAATGGTAATGAAACAACCAATGTTAACATCTTTGTTTTGATGATGCTAAAATGACGGGACGGACAAGGCGTACACCTGGTGATTCTCTGTACCCACCACGATAAGCCACTGCGTAATAATTTCTTATAATAGACACAAATAACCTACGAAATAAACATTTTATAACAAATAAGATATGGAGCTGTTCTATTCGGTTAGAAAAATGTATAATACTTAACATGGCGTATCGAGTTCTTAGGTTTTCGCGATTATTACACATAGGAAATGAAACTATTTCAACCTGTAAAATGAAACTAGTCAACCGTGACCATGGGACCTGTAAAGGGCCCGAAACGTTGGTTTGTTTGAAAAAACAAATATACGCGATTTAAATCCAGAAAAATAGTTTCATTTCCTACCTTAACATCATGTTTTTATATAGCACTGTGTCAACTTTCAAAAACAAATTTAAAGTTAATGAATCCATATATTAGAAATGGTAGACCCCTGCAAAACAGAAAAAATTGGCACGTGGACTACGAGACAAAAAAGTTTGGGAACCAAAGTAGTACGACACGATATCAGTAATTAAATTACCTTAAGTTAGATCCGGGCTGCGGGGAGGTAGGCACGGCGGCGAATATAGCCCGCGCCAATTCTTCGGCACCGACGCCGAGCAGACGAGCCGCTCGCTGCGCGCAGCCACCGCTCGTAAACTGGTACTTTAGACCAGAACCCGTGCTCGCTGCATTTAATATAAATATTGGTAAAATATGATTCCATAGTTATGCTGGGTTATTTTGAATGAACTTATAAAGACAATATTACAACTGTGCGCACGCAGTGGCAGTGCCTCTTAGATCTTTGCGATTTAATGCTCTGAGTGGCACTGCAACTGTTATGGATAGACGTGTTTAGTGCTTACTATCAGGCGCACGACTTGTTCGTCTCGCCACTTATTATAATAAAAAAAAAATCCTATTACAAACAACTTTTCGCTCATTCGACGCTACATTGATGTAATTGTAATTTTGGCAATTTTTAATTAAGTATCTTACTTAACACATTGTGTTAACATATACTCCCTGACATATAATTCGAGCCACCTCGCGTTTTTGCCTTAAAGAGTATAAAAATAGTGTTATCATCGAAGAAAAACGTTTCCCCCGGTTTTGCAAGTCGAATTTCCAAGAAGGACTTATAATAATAATAATAATAATAATAATAACGCACACACTCAACATAGCCCTGCACTAGCGAAACCCTGTGTCGTGGGTGCCATGGACACACACATAGACAACCACAAATTACACCACAACCACAAACTTACGATAGAAATAAATGTAGGCCATGCAAATATTTCTCCCGGCCCGGGAATCGAACCTGGGACCTCCGCGTGGCAGTCCGGCATGGTAACCGTTCGGCTACGGAGGCAGTTATGGAAAAGACTTTTAATATTCTAGTTTCAAAATTGCGTAGGATAGTTCTTGATCAATCGAACATTGATTAAGCTTAGGGCATTTAATACTGATGCGAGGTGGCTCGAATTGTGTGTCTGGGAGTGTATTTAATGCAATTGTGCCAAAATTACAAATACGTCAATGTAGCACCAAATGAGCGTTATGTTCTACGTTCTTCAAAGTACCTGAGAAATATTTATTTATTGTTAAAGCGTGCACAGCTCTCCACCACTGTGGTCGGCAATCGATCTATTGTGATCACCACCAATTACAATATAGAGCCAATTTTTTTTTAAAAACACAGCATTATTTTTGTTATCTTACAAATATTTCGCTAAATGTGTGTAAATTCTAATAAGAAGTATTGAATATAGTGCCATCTAGTGTTGAGTAGTGGAACTCCAAAAGCAAATAATTCATATTATCTCCCACCACTTCATAGAACGGAAGCTTTCCGAAAATAAAAACGGAATTTTACGAACGATATCGAATTTGAATAATTACTTGACGCGTTACAAAGTATGGTCTAAAATTACTAACCTAATTTGGTAACGCCAGCCCATCCCAAATGACAGATAGCAGCAAGAATCTTCCAAACAGCCATCTGCGACTGTTCAGTGACACTGAGCAATTTCATTGCTTCTCTGAGGGCTGCAAACTCAGTGGGCGCCTCCGCTTTCTCGCTGGATGTTAGGAAGGGGTTCGGAGCGTTGATTGGGGCTTGGTCGAGGAGGAGCTCGCGGCGCAGGCGGCCGTCGCAGCCGTGGAATAATCTAGAAATAAAAGGTAATCAGCAGCCATAGCATGGCAGTCAGTATATGTGTGATAAACCTCTCCGTGACAATATTTATTTCAGTTGATAAAGCTAAGTTTGCTTATTTGGCAACGAACTATTGTTACATATTTTGGAAGAACAAGGACAACGATATGAAATTGCGTATATAGCTATCTTTGTCTTTAATCATCGCTGCGAAATCGATGAAACAAAAAAAACGATGGATTTTGTAGTTTCTGTTTTTCCATTATATTATTTATTTCATTTTATTTTTTTATTTATATATTTAGTTCAGGCCACATGACCCATACAACACATACCTTAAGGACCTACATACATACAATATAATAAAACACTATTCCTAACTAATTGCACTTGTCGGCAACGTGTTATTATTATTTACGTACTATAATTACTGTCATGTATTGAACTGTACTGTTTGTTTTTATTATTTCTTTTCATCTCGTTTGTCCCGTTAAATTTTTATATTGATAAAATTACAAATTATAATTAGTGTAAAAATGTTTTAAAATCCGCTTTGACCGTGCAGCCATGTTTGGTACTGTGTTAATCTTTTGCTGTCATTGGTCGCGGCGTACGCGATGACATAAAAATGTGATATCACGGTGCTCGCCATGTTAGCTATTGTGATAAAATTTGAAAATGTCGGTTTATCATTCGAATTTTGAGAACTAAATGTGGGTATAACAGCTTTATCGAGGCGGCATACTACAAGGGCAGTTGTCATTGTTAACTTGTCAAAACCTTCAAACTTTACTTACAACTACATTTTCTACTTAAGTTTTAATTTCACACTAGTTTTTCTTTTGCATGTAAGTATTTTACTGTTGAAATATTATATCTTTAGAAACTGCTTGATTATTACATTAAATGTCATCAAGTGATGGGAAGAACAAGTCGTGCGCCTCGTAGGAAGAGACACGACCATAACAGTGGCAGTGTCACTCAGAGCTTTAAACCGCGATAGATAAATAATAAAATAAACAAATATATACTACAGGCCTACCGCTTAACTGAATCGGGTCCTAAGCTATCTGTGCGGTGTGGAGTGACAGTTTACGTAACAGTAATGTCGCGCTGCACATGGGATAATTTTAACAACATTTTTCCGACGACATTCAATAACAAGTTCATTGAAAAAAGTGCCAAATGGCATGTCTGTTCATTAAAATGATCAATGAAATAGTTTGCTTCACATAACAACAATTGAATAATTAACGCAATTTTTTCAATCGACTTGTTATTAAATATCGTTAGAAAAATCTTGTTGAAAATATCTCGTGTGCAGTGCAACCAACAACGGCACACTTTTATTGAAGCTTAAATGGCAATTAATAATGTAACATAATTTTAGGGCAACAATTGAAGAACTAATTAAAAGAACTTTCATCACGGGATATAACTGTGATCATTTCATACTCACGTATGCAGAGCCCTAAGCGGCGTACTATGCGGCCTCAAATCAGGCAGCAGTGTCTGCACTGAGGCGGAAACCAAGGCACCACCGCCATCGAAGTCCAGGGACGCCAGCGATACGAAGCGAGACGCGTGGGGGTTGGCACCCGTGCTAGAATAGGAAAGATGCGGAACAATTTAATTTTAATAGCAACAACAACTATAATTATTAATACAAAGATCGACACTCAGAAAAAATTCCTTCTATCTGGCCGGATTCGAACCGACGCCTTCTAGCATACACTGTCAGACGCTATACCACCTAAGCCACGGAACGAACTAGCGGACCTCACGAATGTTTCTAAATGCTTGCGTCGTATCTTTGTATTTGGTATTTCAACGACTTTTTAGCCCTTGCGCCAGCTATGACAAATCTATATTTCGTCACCCAGTTTGAAACTTTTACAGCTATCAGCCCCGACAAGAGATGTCGCTATTTATTGTATTTCAAATTTTTATTGAATTTATAAAACAAGAACTATTTAACAAAGCCATTTAACAGATGTTGCACATTAATGAAGTTCTAAAAATAGTGTACGCATATTTTTAGAACTTTTTCGATGGCTGTCTGGAACGGCGGCCTATCTTAAAAATTCCCAATTCAAAAGGAAGGCTATAATATTGTCAACTTATGATTTTAACCAATGGGAAACTCCGTGGCTTATTCGGTGATACCTGGCTGAGTGAAGAAAAAATTTTCATAGATTTCTCACAGATGGCTTCGGCAAAAAAAGTCGGTAAAAATAAAAAACAAAGATCTGCAACAAGCACATAAAAAGGAAGGCACTGGTTCGAATCTAGCCGGATTGAGAAGGAATTTTTCTTAGTGTTTCATCTTTGTGTTAATAATTAAAATTTAGCACATTAAGAATACAACTGCGCAATAAATCCAAAAATTTACTTTAGTAATAGCTTAATTAATGCGTTTGAAAAGCAGCAATACTGCACATTAACTGAATCATAATAGAAATCTAAACACAGAAATCGAGCGCATTTCTATTCTTAAAGGGCTAGAATACAAAGACTGGATATCATCGAAGAAAAAGATTTCCTTGGTTAAAAAAATGCAAATTTTCAACAAGAACTTATGGAAATGAAACTTAGGATACCAGTTTCAAAATTGGATAATAGTATTTAATCAATCAAACGTTTAAGCTTAGGGCACTTAATACTAAAATGCACGATAGCTTCAATATGTATCCGGGAGTGTATTTTTTATTAGATAGCAATAAACAAGGTTTATTTTTAACCGACTTAAAAAAGGTGGAGCTTCTCAATTCGAATGCATTTTTTTTGTGTGTATGTTACACGACTACTCCGGCATTTGTTGATTCTCTTGGAACCGATGTTGATGATTCTTTTTTTGGTGGACCTTACCGTGGGAATGGGACCGGTACCTTTAATTTGAAGAAAATATTCCACCTCTAACGGTTTCGCACGCTTTCCAGAGACCGATTTCAATAAAATTTGGCAAATAGATCTAATTCCACAAACTTAATATACTAACCGCGAAGATCCAAAGATGTGCAGCACGTCAAAGGCAGCGTCAAGCCGCTCCGGTGTGAGCTTCGTGCCCTGAGCAGGATAGGCGCTGGCCAAATACCATATGCAGTGACGCATCGCTGAAGTTTTGCCGGAGCCAGACCTGGGCGTAACAATATACATATATTACGTCATAATCAAATATCAACCCTATTCCTGTATTTAGTATTACTTCTGTACCTTACTAGACTTTTGGTATACACTAATCAAACGTGCGAGTATCTGTTTAAGTCCTTGAGTTCCATAGTAGCAGTAGAGCTTCTTGTGAAAGATTTCGTCCAGCGAAGTACTGCCAACATACCTATTTCTGCCGCCAAGCAGCAATGTGAGCATTAGGGCGTTCCGGTTTTGAAAGTTATGGGTGCAGGTGAAGCTAAGTTATATGGGTTTATTGCACTAAAACATAATCACAACCATAATTTTCACTTACAGCTACACTTATATATTCATATCCGCACTTATATATTGAATAGGTTATTTTAGATGCACTGTTCACACTTTATTACATTTTATTATTTCAATTAACAATGTAACTTCTAGTCCTTTATTATACCTTTCATTACAAACAACTACTAGATTTAGTACCTCTGGTTGGTTCTGACTGAAAACCAGCGCCTTATGGTGCTTAAACATATGATGAGTTAGCGCCCTTTCACTGCTATGACAATAAATATTTTATTCTTTCTGTTGTATTCAATCTGTATATGTGTCGGAATGTGTGAATAAACACCATATCGAAATAGCCGTAATAGACATTTTTAATGCTAATTTGTTCTATAACAAAATTAATATTTTGTTATAGAACAAATTAGCATTAAAAATATTATTACTTAATAAAACACCAATAAACGCAAGTCAATATTAATAAAAATTCGTATAAAATTGACGTAAAATATTCAAATAGCTAATTTAAACGTCCTTGAACTTATAATTGAATTAGCAATGCAAAATACCTTTCATCACTTAGCTGTAAATAGGTATTTTGTATCACCGCATAACATTTGTCTAGAAATGGTAATGCAACATTTTGTAGTGCATTCTGACTAAATAAGGGCCATATATTCCTGGTAACACATTAGCGATACAGCTCTTATAAATACACTGAAATATAGATAGACCAACTACTGAGCTGTGTGTACGTCTCCGTATATTCCAAAAAATATTCTGTATTTATTGTAATAAAGACAATATCTCTAAGAATGCCGTGCTGTTCTATTCGGTGGTGTAGGAAAAACAGCAAAACATCTAATTACAAAACAAACGGAATCAAATTTCATCGGTAATTAAATATTAAAAAATATTATAGCAAAGCTCAAGTTAACTGGTCGATTTGAAGTGAAACAGTTGACGACACCCGTCAATTGTTTCGAACTCGGGCTAGCCAATCGGAGCGCAGTTGTCACAGTAATTATATGGCAGAATAGTTTTCAAACAAATTAAATGACATTTCGTCTCTATTTCTGGTTATATACTGGATGACTAGAATGCTCCATGTACGGGCAAAATGTGTTTGGGAAATAGTTAAGACAATGGGTTTTAATTGTTACTTTCCATTTTAGTTTACTAACTCTTTTCCTTTGTAATTGGACATATTTTTTACCGAACAAGTTGATAGAAGTAAGAATTGCATAAAAATTAACAAAATTTTACTTTTTTCAGGTCTTAGGCTTTTTTGCGATTGCCAAACATAGCAACTCATTATAGCAAATACTGAGTTAGTTACCTTTTTGTTACCACAGCTGCCACCACACAAAGTATACTTAATTATACTTAGTTACACTTTATGTGAATAGTTAGTATCTAATTTTATTTATATTTTTTGTTTTGTTTGTGAGTTTGTTTTGAAATTATTTATTTATGTTTTGTTTGTTGAATGTCTTGATTGTTTTGGTTTTGCTTCTCTCCTTCTGTTTTTCTTAGTTTTGTTTTTCTTTTGTGGTGTCATTTGTGGTAAACAAATAAATGTATTTTATTTCTTTTCTTCTCTTCTTCATTAAGTTTTGGTAGCAGTAGAGCTCTATGTGAGAGTTCGTCTAGGAAAGTACTGCCACCTTACCTGTTTCTGCCGCCAAACGTTAATATGATCATTACTCTCATTTGACAACTAACATAGTACAATCTCAACATTGCGTTAGGTTATATTTTTATCGTCAAAATTTCCCTATATCAATAACGTAAAGTTTTTACTTGCAACAGAGCTCCTGAGTTCGTGTAGGGAGTTTTGCCGCCAAGCAGTAATGTGAGCTTTATTGCGTTAGACTTGAAAAGTAACAGTGCTGGTGAAATTACAGGCACATGGGACTTGTCATCTTATGTCTCATGGTAACAAGCGCAGTGGCAATGCCCCTCAGATCTTTGTGATTTAAAGTTCTAAGTGACACTGCAACTGTCAAGGACTCGTTCGTCCCGTCACTTGGTAGAATAATAAAAAAAATGTTCTGGAACGTGTTTTTTTGTGATTAAAATGCTAGTACCTCAATCTCTTCGTACAACGCGGTAGTTCTAGATATTATCTTCTCATAATTAACGACAAATGATCAGCAGATCAGATAGTAAGTAATAACCAGTGGTAATTGATAGATGGCGCCTGATAGTGTACGTTGAAATTGAAGCTGTAATTTAGTAGTGGGCGTTTCCTTCCTTCTTCTAATGCTTAATATGCGATAAACCATAAACTTTAAGAGTTTTTTTTTTGTATTAAAAACCAGTTATTTATTTAAGAAACACACAGCCAAAGCTAAATAAGGTAATAAACAAAATACATTACAATCTTAATACCAGGTATAATTTAGGTGTGTGAAGTTGGGTCCTCGGCTGAGTGGTCAATATGTAGCAATGTCCCTAATGTTTAGTACATATAAGCCAATTTGCATAAAAGGTAAACAAACAAGTCATTGACCTGGTTACAGACAGTTTAGTGATGGCCAAAATTGTACTGTCGATTACAAATAATTGAATGATTCGGTTTGTTTAACTGAATCAATTGAAAAACAGTTTAGAAATTTCGCCGCTGATTAGTAGCAAAAAATGTGATTCGATACCGAGTGATAAACAGGATTAGAAAACTATAATCTGTACGGGTTGTAGTGAAGTCCATACGTTGATCGTCGTGAAGATAAGTTGTAGAAAATGTAGTAAATATAAAGTAGTTACTCCGATTATAAGTTTATTGTATAAAAGCTAAGATTATTTAAAGACAGACGAGTAAAGTATGTTAATGGTAATATTTCTCTCGGTTTATTATTATTAGTTATACTGTTACAAGCATAATATTTCAAAATCAGATCACACATGACATAATCAATGGCGAATGGTCGGTCAATAAATAAACAAAATGGCGAATTTAGTATCGGCCGGGGTTACCAAAATCAAAATAATAGAAATCCAAAATATCACAGAACAATAAATACAGTAGGACTGCCTAGTTTCAGTGGCACGTGTGCCAACAATTCGCGGAGTTCCGCAAACTTGAGCTTAGTCCGTCACTTTCGCTTTGTACGTTATGGTCGTGTCAATTATCTCGCGCAAAATCTCGAAAATCGCAGAAAATGTTTGTTTGCTACTTTGGAGTGCAACAATGATAGTAGCACTTGTAATATTATCATAGTGATGTTTCGTATCATCATTCAAGTTTTATTTCATTTAATTTTAATATATTTTCAATTTTCTGTTAATCGTAATCATTTTTTTGTAACAACAAAGAAAAATAAACTTTATACCGCTGCAATATCTCGCTTCTTTTTTGGTGAACTAAATAAATACCTCGAATTTGTTGTCGTTCAGCTACCAACCTCTAGATGGCAGCACATTGATTAAAATTTCAATATAAAATCAAAACCTAACTTGCAATAATAGGTATTGATGGTACTGAAGTTTCAACGATATGCCAACAGGATAAAGTTTAAATTATATTAACAGCCCGGAATTTGTTATGTCTTTTTAATTTGGAACTACGAGACCAATCATTATTAAGATTTCATAGTGTTACAAATTATGAATGTGTCAGTTTTGGCGACGCTAAAATCGAGGCTAAAGGCACTTCCATCGTTTTTTTCTTTCGTGCAGAAAATCGTACAAATATGTTTAATATTAAGTCGTTTAATAGTAAATCGATTGTTAGCAATTTAAACGTAGTACTGGTCGGTGTTCTGGAAGTGAATTCCGTTGCTCTGATAATTATATAGTACAAGGAAATTCCATAGTTTGACACCAGGAAATTAATTAATTAGTGCATTTGCTGGAGAAACTACATGGGACTTGTCACCTTATGTCTCAGTGTGTGACGGGCGCAGTGGCAGTGCCCCTCAGATCTTTACGATTTAAAGCTCTGAGTGGCACTACAACTGTTATGGACAAGCGTGTAGCTTACCATCAGGCGTACGACTTGTACGTCCAGTCCCTTAATATTATAAAAAAAAATGTCCGTCACATTTTAACTATTATTGTTTCAAACATGACTCAGTACCAAATTCCTTAATAATAACGATAATAAAGACAACAGAACAACATTATATAAGTGTGGGAATAAAAGAAAACATACTGTAAAAGAAAGGTGTAAAAGACTCTGGCTACTAAAGTAGACAAGTCAAAAATTACTATTACTCTACCTGTATGCGGAAGTTGTTCAAAAAAACTTGTATATTTTACTTATGAAACGAATGTCACAGTATGAATTTGCATATCTGGTAGAGACAGGCTGGCTGTATCGCACAGTTTATATAACGCTTAAGAAGGAATAATAATTTTATAATTGGACGTTTTACCTTCATTTACATACATCTTTGGTACGTTGTTAGAGCTTGATATGGCTTGAAACCAATATTATAATGACATTATAAACAAAACTACGTCTTATACACCGACTGGCTGCAAAATTTGTTTTAAAAAATTGCTGTTTTTTTAAGAATTTTATGTACCTTTGAAAAAAAATATCTTGAAGAAATTTTATTAGTAATTTCTTTTATAATTAGTATTCCTGGAAACACAAGTTATACTTGTCTTCTTATCACAAAGAAAAGATTAGATTGTGTTTGGTTTGTTTTATAAGTATTCCGTTGAAAATTATATTCGGGATAATGAAAATTCGAGTCAACGTTATTTCGGGCAATTTCAGATTTCTGATAGATAATCTGGAAAGGTAACCGATCAAAAGTCCAAAATTACATTTGCCCGAAATAATATTAGCTCGAATTTTCATTATTCCGGAAAACCGATTTATCGCAAAAAAAAATTAGGTCAAGTGATGTTTGCTTTTAAAAAAAAACGTTATGCGTAGGAAATTACATTCGGGATTATGAAAATTCGAGCAAATGTTATTTCGACCAAATATAATTATTAAATTTCGTACCTGTGATAGGTAACCTTATAGAAGTTGACATGTAACAATATAAGTATAGTTTTAATGTGTTCTTACAAATTATATTAGTAAGAACGGTAGTAACTTGAAGAGAGACCGATCGCTTCTCAATTGAAAGATCAATGATCTGTATCTCAGTGGCAGCATGTACCAATGTCTAATATTGTTGCAATATCTCTCGATAACAATCAAGATAAGCATCATGACGATATTTGCATCTCGGAGACGAGACAACCCTTAGAAAACATGTGAAGTGGCATAAAACCATCTCTTTAACATAGTTATAATGAGTTAAAATCTAATATGAGCATCTAACTGGTCACGTCATCTCTTTCAGGGCCTTCCACTTCTCTCTTGCGTTGGGTGGGACCCACTCGGTAATGGTCTTTGAGCACAGCTCGCTATACATGCGGCAGTCGTATCCGACACAAACAGACGTACAATTTTGGATATACAATTTGTCATTTTCACATGAGTTGAATATTCTAATAATTACCTCCCAAGGAAGACAATAGCGCGGTCTCTTCTGGAAGCAAGCATGCACCTGTGCGCAGATTGAGCGGCAGCAAACACGTGGGGCGGCATGTCGTCAGCGCGGCACCCGCGGAACATTGCTGCTACCTGGAACATTTCTGACTTCTGAACTGCTACTATATTATAATGACTGAGACATAGAAAGCTCCGGGGGGGACTACGGGTTCCCCGGTAAATCCAGGGTACTGGGTCTGTCTCGTGTGCAGCTAGGGCGTCTTAGTAGCGGTCTAGACGAGGGCCTAAAGCGAGGAGACGCGCGGGGCACGTAAGTTGCTCTTTAAGTCGGAAGCTATGTCCAGACATTGTTACAGAACACTGCGACCGATATCTCCGGTACTAACCCGAAGAGCTAGTAGAGGATGAGCTAGACATTCTCTGGTCCCTCTATCCGCGTAGATTTTTGGGATCTGGAGATACGCTTCGGCGTCGGGAGGTGACAGTGCGTACAGCTCCGCCACCAAAGAGGAGATTTGGTAGGGGACTTTAGAGTCAACGACTTAGCGATGGCAACCGTTAGTTGCACAATGCATAACGGGAAGTGAGCGTGCCTACAGCTCCGATACCTATCTGAAAAATAGTGTGTGTACTGTACGAAAACCCGGGACGATTCACTGGCTGACACGTGGTCAGGACCTGAACTCAGAAGGTCCCTGTGCTTGCACGAGTTATAGTGCCCTTCTCGTATACCCTTAGAATCGGTAGGGAGGGCACTATAATTAAAACTTAATTATGTAGAAAGGAACGGTGACGCTATTATATTATATACTACACATTGTCACACACCCTTATAAACATTTGCTAAATTCAAGGGGGCATCGAGTACGGGAGACGAGTTTACAACTGGTGGGTGTAGCTGGGGCAGGGTATACACAGTGGAATAGCAGATATTGGTCCAGCTGGCAGAGTATACCTCTATTGTTAAAGTTTTAAAAGTGTATTATCCATTAATTTACCTTATCAGTATACACTGGCGCCGTCCGTCTCGGTGGCCCGAGGACGAGCAGTGCGTGTCCAGCTCGCGCATGTGGCAACCCAGCAGCGAATCTTGACCGTAACACGTTCAGGGCTCCGCATTCGTTCAGGCAACGGAGAGAGGCTATATCCTCGCACCGCTCCAGCTGCGGTGGGTTTGCCTGTAATAAGTATTAGTAATAATCGACAATTTTAATTGCACCAATTACGAAATCTATCAATACCAATCTAAAAATTATTTTAAAAAACAAAAACCTTACAGCAAAAATACAGATAAAAAAATATTCCCCCAGTACTATTTTGATGAATTTTTATAGCCTATGACACTCCCACAATCAAAACGAATGTAACGAGTCCTCATTGTCAAAATCCATCAAGCCGTTTAGACTGCACAGCGTGAAAAAGAAATGGACATACATACACTTGAAAAACAACCCTACCGCAGTCAAGATACTCGTACTTTCTCAATATAGCAAATGTACTGCGCCTAACAGATTCTAACAAGCTGACGGTGTGATACTTTGCCGGTGTGTCTACTAATAAAAATAACTTCAAACTCACCTTTTCCAAATCATCATCGTCGACGGTAAGTACTTCCCCAGTTTGAATAACTCTAACTCGGGCCCTGCCAGCATCGGCGTCCCCTTCCCGCAACACCGCGGTGAACCCTCCGCGGTGCGCCAGCCACATGTGCCCCGCTTTCAGCCATTCTTTCTCGCATGCTAGTTGCTCCTCGGATTTCGCCTGTACGACAAAGAAAATAAGAGATTATTAACAGTTACAGTACTAGAAAGAGATTAAATTAAATTTCATTTGTGTCTCTAAATTTCGGATCGGAAACATTTGAGATGACAAGTAGAGGTCAAGTTACTTTACATATTGTAACTGAATTTTGTTGGATATGAACCAAAAGATCACTTGAATATCTGATGAGGATTGCGGATCAAAACACTATTGTACTGATTGGGATTGAAAATAATTAAGATTTTATTAGTAAGACCTAGGAAGCAACAAAAATTGCACCACTGATAAAACACTGGTTACAGAAAGAAAAACATATAAAATTAGGAAAAGCGTTGGTTTTAGTTTTGAATTTGGCCGTAAAATATATAATAAACAGAAAAATTAAAAAACTCTGTTAAGGCTGTAGATTTTAGTAACACACTTAAAGAACTATTTACGGCTATTTATTTATACCAAGTGACGTGACGAACAAGTCGTGGACCTGGTGGTAAGCGACACGCCTGTGCATAACAGTTGCAATGCCGCTCCAAGGTTTAAATCGCAAAGATCTGAGAAGCACTGCCACTGCGTCCATCACCCTCAGACATAAATTAAAAAGTCTCGTGTCTGCAATTTCACCAGCTCCCTTTCCCTTCGAAACCGCGCGAAATGCAGTAATGCTCACATTAATGCCTGGTGGATGAAACAGGTAAAGCTTTCCTGGACGGGCTTTTTCACAAGGAGCTCTACTGCTTTTGGTATTGTAGCGTCCTATATAAAGCCACACGGCAACTGTGTTTTCAGGCACCATTAAAAAAATATATAGTTTTTTTACTAAAATCGATAGACGGTGTGACAAAAGTTGTCTTCAAAAATTATTACACTTACAGTGTAAACTACATAAACTATTATTTTAAAATACAATTAAATATCGTAAATACATTAAATACACAATATTAAGCACCTTTACCAAAACCGAAACGCAGTAAACACATGACTGCTTGGCGGCAGAAATAGGCAAGTAATCAGTACTGCCCTCGTCGAACTCTTTCACAACGAGCTCTACAGCTACTAAAGATGCACTGCTCATAATGTACATTTATCTAAATATTTTTAGCTTGAAATGTTTACAAAAATATAAACATCTAACAATCTAAATATCTCAAGCACTTACGTTTAATTTTATTCTCATTGCTACCACTTCCATTTATTCTAATCCTCTCTACACGAACACGGAAAACAAATATATAAAGTAACCGTTTGTAAAACGCATTATGCAAGTAAGTCGAGACTCAAGAGTCTTTGCAAAAGCGTGTAATAGACGTAATAGTGGAGTGCATCTTAAACGTGTTATGCAATTTAAGGCGCTGTTGACAATTTCTCTAGACGTGTCCTGTTAGTATCTTCGACGTGTTAAATTTTCACCACCTTAAGGTCCGAATCATTTCAATGACAATATTATATCATCCCGTTAAATTTATTTATACAAAGTTACTAAAGTTAACCTTTTTCTTCTTCTTATCGTGTCTATATTGACTTAGGATAGTATGTTGCCACCTTGACTGCGTCATCCGCCGCGTAGAGATCTTCCCTCTACCTGTAGGTATTAGGGCACAAGGGCCACAACAGTAAGTCCTGCATGGACTCTGTTGGGGCACATTCACATTGGGTTAGACTAGCATCCCTGAAACCCCATTTACACATGTCGTCTCTGCAGCGATGTTTAACCGACTTACGACCGCAGTTAAAACATATCGAAGTCTACTTGAGAATTAGATTGCAGCTTTACTACATTTTTTTTTTTATTTCAATTTCATTATAATATCAATAATATCATTCTTCGTCGATTTTTAAAATTGAATTCTCTGTTATTACAGATTCCCATGCAAAATTCGTGCTAATACCGAATTCGTTTGCAAATAAACATTCTAATAAATTCCCCTTTAAAGTTCCGTAACAACACCACCGCGGCATCATCTTACCAACTCAAAGGCGCTCTAAGATTACAGATTCAAAGAAGCATTTACACTGTGCCAACATCTCTATGCCGTTGGATAAATTCAGAACTATTGCTTTCTCCCTAAACCCTACTATGAAAGCTACGAGATACTATCGACAAATGTAAGTTGGTTGTTGTGTATTTCATTTGCCTTCTTCAATATCAGTACAAGCATAAATGCCGAAGATCGTCACAACGAGTCATGCAGAATCAATTACAAAACTGACAACGGCTTTTACGACAAATTACTGTAAAGGTCTTATACGGTATTCAGTTAACATCGATAGCATAGGGTTGCTTCGTTTATTAAAAATTCCTAACAGCATAGCACGAAAAACTGAATTCTTATTCAGCAATATTGACCATGTATGTATTGTAAACTGGACCAAAACAAGAAAAACTGAAACAATGAAAAATATATCATACGTAGCCAGACCGTGGACCAATGAATGCCTAATAAAGATTCAATTTGATTGATTGTCATCATCAAATTTATCAGTAAGACCGCCGAAGTAACAAAAACTGCACCCCCACCAAGACACTGGTTGCAGAAAGAAAAAGACATGAAATTAAGGAAAGTAATTCGGGTTCAGACGATACACATTTACTGTTATCTCTCGAGGTGCAACTGATCGGAACTGGATGCGACTCAAATTTAATTATATATTTTTGACAAGCAACCAGTCCCGGGATCACACGATACTCGCATTTGGGTTCATTCGGATTCCGTTGCAACTTCAAACCAACCCCGGGTTCAGATGCTACAAACACGTGGGTGTTGTTTTAAAAAAAAAACAATATACGCGATTTAGAACCGAAAAAATAGTTTCATTTCCAATGAGTAGCAATCGCCGAAACCTAACCTAACTGGATAGATAAATGCAGACAATCATCACATTGATGACGACAACGCAATCTGGCAACCCTCAAAAGACTAGACTAAAGTGAAGACGCTTCACAGAATTCCTAATTTTCTACAATATAAAAGAAGGAAGCACATCACGCCGGGAGGCGGCAATTTGCCCACATCACGCCATTAGTCACGTCTCAAGATCGTGCGGGAAAGCGAGTGTTAAGTGACGGTTAATCTTCTACAAATAGACCCAATCTGTTTGCTGAGCTATATCGCATTCGGTGAACTTTGTTAAAGCGTACAAGGTATTACTTTGGAGGAACGTTGACTATTGTAGTATCAGACCGGATTATGGACACAGCTGTCGTTAAAAATTAATACAAGGCAAAGAGACTATTATTAAACGACAACTGAAATAAAACACTAGGAAAGAATTAAAACAACAAATACCTCAGTGAGTGAAGGAATAAATTTCTCACAGATGGCGCTACGGCAAGTCGTTAAAAACCAAAAAACAAAACATCTGCAAGAAGCACAAACAAGGATTCCTATGGTCTGCTAGTTTGTTCCGTGGCTTAATTGGCAAAGCATCTGCCACGGATTGCCTAAGGGTGCAGGTTCCTAACCAGCAGGATCAAATGATTTTTCTAAGTGTTTCTATCTTTGCAATAATAATTATAACAAACTAGTGGAGTAATTTTACGAAAAATAACTGAATATCATGATAGTAAACCATCATGACATTTAATAAAATTTAGAAAACAAATATTGTTATCAAAAATTTTATGTCACAAAGATGCATTTATTTCGGCTGCCAAGCAGTGATGTGAGAGGGATGCTGGTGAAACTCAGGGTAACGGATGTACAGTGGCAGTGCTCTTTAAATCTTTGCGATTTAAAACTTTGAGTGGTGCTGATAGATGAGCGTCTCGCTTAGACTAGGCGCACAACTTGTTCATCGTGTTATATGATTGGAGGCCGCGGAAGATGTGTCGATTTTGGTTTCTTAGCTCTTTTATGACGTCCTCATCTTTGTTTTTCGGTAGGACCACATCTTTAAGGACTAACAAAGGGTCCTTGTTTTCTAGCTCCTCACATACTAGGCTCTTTCCTGCTTTTTCTATCCTCTCTTTTATCTTTCTTCTCTCGTCTTCCGTTCTGCAACTCATGATGATTTTCCTGTCCTTGGCCTTCCGAACTCTTTCTACCTGCACATTATGTCATAAAATAAAAATAGGAAAATATCAACCACAAAGACAGAGATATAATTATTATCAAATGTATTGGTTTAAAGATACGTTTTCTTGTAGTTAATATTAAAAAACAAACATTATTTAAAAACAGATATGAAACATCAGTAACAATTAGAAACAAGTATAATTGAGAATCTTAAAACCATCCGGGAGACCACACAAGCGAAGAGAACTACTAAACGAGTACCTTTGATTTGATATAAAAGTATTTTAAAAAGGAGTTAATAGACAAGCTTGTAACACCAAAAACAATGTTCAATGCATTCTGAATGAGATAAATTGAAGGTATTGTTTTCGCACTTTTACACCCACAGAACATTGAGTCATTTTGTTGGAAAGCTAACACTTGGACATATTGTCGACTCAAATAAATAAATAATTGTTATAGTCGGTACTTAAAACTTAAACGAAATGGCAGGCGTGGGCAAGTGAGATTAAGGGACACATTATTATGGCCAGGTACAAAGAAAGGTTGGTGTCACGTCGTATTAACGAGGTAAAGACAAAAGCTTTGGAGACACCAGAATTGCGTTTAAAACACCAAAACAAACCTAGTTTATGAGCTCCTTGTGGAAGAGTTTTTCCAGGGAAGTACTGCCATCTTACCGATTTCTGCCGCCAAGTAGTAATGTTAGCTAATTGCTCAATTAAGTTTCAAGGTCTTCCTTATATTTAAGATGCTATGTTATTTATTATGATTGAGGCTTTCGGACAGTACAATAAAAGTACAGGTGTTTTTTTTTACATTTGGCGGGTTCGATTCCCGATTCAGATAAGCGATTATTTAAACATCTATGAATGCAATTCAAATTTATTTTAAAATCAAAATTAAATCTTCTTTCAGTAAAATTTTCTATGTACGGTATTTAAGCTATTTTCCCTCCGTGCCGTAGAGGAGAGTTGGTCCTTGAGTTGG